AAGCTGGAGCGGACAGACAGGAGCTCACCCCATCTCGCGGATTTGAACCGCTAACCTTCAGGTCAGCTGTTCAGCCTGCACAAATCAGATTAACCCATGTCAGATTACCAAAACAGAAATGTTTTGGTAATTTAAGGACATGAATGCTTTGTTCCATCAGAATAGGGTTATTTTTAGAATTAAGTGCAACAGCAGTAAGGGAAAAATAGAAAAAAGCCATCTCTGTTCCCAAAGTTTCTCGTAGGCAGCCAAGTAGTTTTTTCATATGGCAGAAGTGGTTTTCACTGACATCCCTTTCCCAGTTTTGCATCAATTATGGTCATTTTATTCTTGGCACCCTCACCTATACAGGTGCAATTATGGCATCACAGCAAGAGCAAGAAACTGGGCCAATGTAATCAAGTACATATTATTGTTTGAATTGAGATCTCCGAAATCCTAGTTGAATATCATAATCATTAGAATACATTGAATCTCTTATTGTGAGAGGAATAATTTGTTATAATTGTTTGCCTTCAAGTCATTTCCAGTTTATGGTGATCCTAAGGGTTACAGGGGCTGAGGCTATGTGACTTGCTCAAGGTCACTCCATGGGTTTTCATGGTTGAGCAGGGATTTCAATTTCAGAATCGTAGTCCAACAAGGATGAAAAATCTTGCCACTATTCTTACATTTCTTGTGTGTTCCTCTGTGCCAGCTGGAGAACTCTATGATCAGAGTTCTAACTCATGCAGAAAGGCATATGTACAGTGAGCACTTGGTATCTGCTGGGATTTGATTCCAGGACCCTCTGTGGATTACCAAAATCTGTGAATGCTCAAGTCCCAGCATGTACAATGGCATAGTAAAATTGCGCCCCTTATAAAAGATGGCAAAATCAAGTTTTGCTTTTTGGAATTTTAAGAAAAATATCTATAAGACATGGATTGATTGAATTCATTGATACAGAATCTGTGAATATGGAGTACTGGCTGCATAGGTACACCATTTCAGATGTTGATTTGTAGTGTGGCCCTCAATGAAATCGTGAAGAGTAGAGACATCACACTGGCAAGAAAGATCCGCATAGTTAAAGCAATGATACTCCCCATAGTAAGCTATGGATGCGAGAGCTGGACCATAGGGAAGGCTGAGTGAAGGAAGATGGATGCTTTTGGGCTGTGGTGTTGGAGGAAAATTCTGAGAGTGGACCGTAAGAAGATCAAACCAGTCCATACCCCAGGAAATAAAGCCTGACTGCTCATTGGAGAGAAGGATATTAGAGGCAAAGATGAAGTACTTTGGCCACATCATGAAAAGACAGGAAAGCTTGGAGAAGACAATGATGCTGAGGAAAATGGAAGGAAAAAGGAAGAGTGGCCGACCAAGGGCAAGATGGATGGATGGTATCCTTGAAGTGACTGGCTTGACCTTGAAGGAGATGTGGGTGGCAATGGCCGACAAGGAGCTCTGGCTTGGGCTGGTAAATGAGGTCACAAAGAGTTGGAAGTGACTGGATGAATAAACAACAACAAATCTCTGTGCCAACCATTTGATTGATGGAAGTGAAGAAGCATTAACAATTGTATATAGAGCAATTGAGAACAGAGGTAACTCTGCTGTCTTGTTTTACCCATTTCTTGGATGTAAGCAGCTCAAGGAGCTTCTTGCTCCCATTTAGAGGTCGCTTTGCTCTTATTTAACAAAATATTTAGTGCTCTGTAACTCTATTTTTCAGAAGGGAGCATCATGAGTCTTCTGTGCCTCAAGTTGCCTTAGACCAGTGGTTCTCAAATCCCAGAAATCCCAGACAGTTTACCAGCTGTTAGGATTTCTGGGAGTTGAAGGCCAAAACCTCTGGGGACCCATAGGTTAGACAGAGATGTGAGAGTCAGCATTAGGGACTCCTCTACCAAAATTGCATAACTTTACTTTGTCTATCTGCTCTTTTAAATGAGATGTATTACCTTCAACAATAAAAGTAATTTTTTACATTTTTGAAATTTTTACCAAAGTATCCTATATATTTTTACTTCTGTTTCCTACCATAATCTGATATACAACATTGGCACTGCTCTACTCTACTGTAGATAGAAAACATTCCTACGATGATCAGGGCTCCAACTCATGCAGAAATCTATATCTACAGTGATCCCTTGGTATCAACCATTACTGTCGTGACCCTGACCCCAGAACATTTTCTTCCAATTTATGTTTAAAGCTCTGTACAGTTATATTTATGGGTTCATTAGTCACATTGTCAAATTCCTGTGTTTTCCCGGGATATTCACGCTCCAGCACAAAAATGGCACCCCAGCTGAAGCTGTGTAATATCTTCCTCCCTTTTTGCCCTTCTCAATTGGCATCGCTTGTTTTCTTCGTAAGCTACTTAACAGCCATTCCTACTGTGCCCTGTGGGGAATTTTGTATGCCTTGGCTAGTGGCCAGATCTGATAGCAACAACACAAGCCCGTATTGTTGTGCATATTGGGATCAGGAAGAGATTAGAAATGAAAACGGCAGCCGCTCATGTCTTTTCATTTTCCTCTTGAAGTAATTCTCCAAGTATTGCCTCCTTCATTGCTATCAGGGTTCAAGATGTAATGCAGCCCCAATTTCCTGCTGTGCAGGAAGTACCAAAATCTTGTGTTTATGGCTGTCCTAGCTAATCAGGTTCAGCGCTGGCAATTTCTGCCACACTTTCAGTCAGTTTGAGTGGTTATAAATACAGTTTGGAGAGGGACAGAATGTGTCAGTTTTGTGCAATGCTTCCCTGCATAGCAGCTTCATTTCCTACTGCCAATTAAATTTTATTGTTTTATATTCATAACTTGAACTATTTCTCTTTTAAACAAAAAGTACTCAAGCTCCAAGTTGAGAGGTTTTAGTTCCCCAAGTATTATCTTTTGCTTCAGAATAAATCCACGCATAATTTAGACGTATAACGTAGCCAGTGCCACCTTGGGTCCTGTGCAAGGAGAAAGGCAGGGTAAAAATTAAATGAATAGTCTAGTGTAGGTAATAAAGATGAGTAAATAATTTCTGGTTTTGGAAGGGGTTAGACCTCTAGGTTTTTCAAGAGAGGAGAAGTGACCTTGAAGGCACCAGATCTCTAGCACATGAATGAAGGATGCCAAGGAATGCCAAGTGCTGTAGGCTATATTTCAAAGGAAGGCAGTGGGAAATCACCTCTGAGTCACCTTTTTCTAAGGCTAAAGACCTTGTTAAACTACAACCCCCAAGATTCCAGAGTGTCAAGCCACAGCAGTTAAAGTGGTGACAAATTGCATTCATTTTATGGTGTAGATGCACCCCTCGAATCAGAAATCCATAACTTCTTTTCTTTCCAATAATACGTCAATGTACACCTTGTTTAATATAGGGCAGTCCCCGAGTTACAGACATCTGACTAACAAGTTACTCATGGTTAAGAATGGGTGAGACAACAGGAAGTGAGAGAAATCTACCCCTAAAAAGGAAAATTCACTCCTGATAGAGTTCTCATGGGAAAAGGCAACTCAACTGAAGATTTAGCACCAATCCTTGTTTCCACAAGAAGCCATTTTTTCAGGATCCAATTTTCACAGGGACTTATAATGAAGTGAAATCTTCTGAAGAAGAGCACCGGAGTATTGACACCTCCCTATGCTATCCAAAACACACACAGAGAGAGACAGTAGAGTCTCGTTTATCCAACATAAATGGGCCAGCAGAATGCCAGATAAAAGAAAATGTTGGATAATACAGAGCCTCCTACTGTTACTCATCTGATTCGGTGATAGGCACCTAGAATACTAACAACACGAACTCAAAAGGTCAAGGCAAGGCAATACCTCGGGGCTAGAGCGACCCAGCAGGAAGTGCCCAGATGTGGAAGAGGAGCGTGGAAATCACAGAGGGAAGGCGCTTCCGCTTCCGGTCCTGCTTCTTTCTCCCTTTCCTCCCCCCTCCTCCTTGTCTTGCCTTTTTCACTTATTGGGAATGGAGAAAAAGTTGGGGAGAGCTCCTTTAACTGAAGGGGAAATGCTGGAGGAAAAGGAGGGTGTCGGATAAAAGTGTTGGATAAGACAGAATGTCGGATAGGCCAAGATTGGATAAGCGAGACTCTACTGTATATATATGGCTGGAGTTACACCTAAAAATGTACCTGTTCCAATTTACAAAAACATTTAACTTAAGAATAAACCTCCAGAACGAATTTTGTTCATAACTTGGGAATTGTCTGTATTTAGTCAGATAGTAGGGGAGACCAAAATCACAACAAAAATCCATGCTCCTTGTTTTGTTTAATGTTTATACAAATATTTCAGATATCATTTATATAGTTCACTAAACCAGATTCACCCAAACCTTGTCTTGGTTTTTGGGCACCTGCTGCAAATGTGGCATCCTGGAGAGTCTGGAATAAATGACAAGGCCACTCTGATAATGGCACCTGGATTGGGAATTCCACACTTCCAGAGATCTGTAAAGTTTAGATCCAGTTAATAATTAACTTTAAAAACATAGCTATCTGTGGTGGCATTCATATTTATTAATTTACTTGCTTACTCTGAAGTAACCTGGAATGTATTTTTAAGAGGTTAATCTTTTGCCCCTCAGTACTCTGCTAATGCAATCAACCAACCAATCAACCAATCAATTACTTTACTCATATTCTACCTTTTTCCAAGAGTCAGTCTTATCCAGATCACATCTAGATACAGTATTGCTTTTTAAAACTTGTATTTTATATTTAATCTTTTTTGTGTGTATTTTATTATGTATTTTGTACAAATATATTTTAATATGTGTATTTTACATAATGTTTTAGATGATTGTATGTTTTAGCAATGTTGTAACCCACCTTGAGCCATGAGGAGAGGTGGGTAAAAATACAATTATTATTATTATTATTATTATTATTATTATTATTATTATTTCATTCTTACTTGTTCATATCACAATGCTTACTGACTGCTGCAATCTGCCAATTCCATTCTTTGACCTTGAGGCTCATGTTTCCTTTTCTTTTTCTCCAGGTGGTTGGGGAAAATGATAAGCATTGGAAGGCAGTGCTTGTAGTTCTGACTGAGAAGGACCTCTTGATGTACGAGAGCATGCCACGGATCAAGGAAGCCTGGTTTAGTCCTGTTCATTCCTACCCCTTGCTAGCCACCAGGTACCTATTGTTATTTAAGTATCTGTTCAAAGAAATAATGTATTTTGGTTACTAGTTTACCCAAATGGTTTTTGATTCACTTCAAAGTCCCTCTCTACCTCTCTACCAGTTACTTAAAAAATTAACAGTAAGATTGTTCCTATCTCATTGCTTTCACCTTAAAATTTTGAATAAAAAAGGACAGAGACTGGAGGAGAGAAGAAAAAAGCAAACTTCTATGTCAGGAATGGGGAAAGTGTGGCCCTTGAACTCTCAAAGCCACCCTAAACCCCCCAACTCACAAAAGACCTTTTTTTTCTGTGCTGTTTTTGGATATAAAATTTCTCCAAAATGTAATCAGAACTTTTTCAAATGTACGTAAACATGCAAGGTCTCCTCCCGAACCTCTAAACTCCCAGGCTACACTCAAATCCTTTTCTCCTTCAGTTTCTTCCTTAACATTATGATAGGAAATAATATAACATCACTTCCACTCACAGTTTTGAAGGAGAAATGGAGAGAAACAGTGGGATCCCAGTATGCTCAATTCATGCACTTCATACAAGTTCACATGATTGACTTTTGGAGAGAGGGAAATAGGGATTAACTGAACTCTGTATCTCGATGTGTTGCTTTTGGAGCCAGATCTTTGTTGTTTGATTCTGCAACATCGTTTTTCTATGTAAACAGTTCAACATGGGAGCATTAGACTTCTTGTTACAACTCTCTTTCTGGAATTAATATTTCTGGCACCAATGAAGCAGCTTGGCTCTGTACATTGCCAAGTCCTTAAAAATATTTATAACACTAAATCGTCTTTTTCAATTCCCTCTTCATGTTCCTTTTTTGGCCACTTGTTTCCTCCAGGGAAGTGCAGTTATGATAAGGAATATATTTTCCAGATGGATAGGGGACACCAGAGGAACAGAGTTATCAGAATGAGGAGAATTATGAGAAGTAAAACAAGAACAGAGTAGCTGAGCATAAAGATTATTAGCTAAGCACTGATGAGAACAACTAGTTTATGACAAACTTCAAACAAGTTCTATTTGTTTATTTTTACCCTGACATGTTTAAACATACTCAAATCTCATCACAGTTACAAAATACTCAGCAACCCAAGGGTGTGTGTTATTTCTTGCATATTTCTTGCCTTCTGTCCAAGATTCTGAGAATGACATTTTAGCTTCAAAAGAAATTTGGTTTAAGCAGCTAGTGGTTAAAATCCATTGGTCAAAAGCTTTTGAGTCAACCTAACCAACTTCATTGTCCTTAAGTATTTGTAAGTTGCCGTGTAATATTTTATTTATTTACTTACGCTATTTCTACCCTGCCCATATCAGCCCAAAGGCGACTCATATTTCCATATTTCTAATGGAAATGTGCAGCAAGAAAGGAAGCAATCCAAAATTCAACAAAAACTAAAATACAAGGCAGAACAAAACCCACTTTGAATAAGTAAACATAATTTAAAGCCAGGTCAGATAAAAAGGTATGGCAAAATTAAAATGGTTTTAATACTAAATGACAACAGGATCTCTCTGGAGAAGGCACTCTGAAGCCAGCGTCTATCACTGAAAAGGACTTCACTCCAGGAGGTTATATAACACAAATCACTTGGCGGAGGCATTGGAAAAGGGCCCTTGAAGACAGAAAGATCTGGATAAGTAGGTTTAGAAAGGGGAGGTCATATAGGCGCCCAGGTCATAAAGAAGAAGAAAATCTTTGAAACTGGCCCAAAAATTGACTGAGAGCTAGTAAACGAGAAAACCAGTGCCATGATGTTCTTATGACCACGCTGTTTCAATCAAAAGAGGAATGGAAGGATACAATGCTTAGAGGTCTTGAAATGAAGAAGCTCAAAATGAAACCCTGTAGAGCAGTGGTTCTTAACCTGTGCGCTGCGGACCACCAGTGGGCCACGAGGACAAACATCTGGTCCACGAGCCTCCTTCCTCTTTCTTAATTTAATTTAATTTGTTTCTGCTCGTTTCATGACACCTGCCACTCTTTCGCTGTTGCTGACCATGGCATATGTTCTGTATCAGAAACTAGAGCTGATGTGGTGTATCCAATGCAATTTTCAGAATCAGCACATGAAACCGAGTCTAAAGTTGACAAAAAATGATTTTTAACCCTTTTGGTACTAATGTTGAAGAGTGGTCCATGATCAAAGTGGTCCCTGGTCAAGGAGTTCCTGGTCAAGTGGTCCCTGGTCAAAAAAAGGTTGGGAACCACTGCATTAGAGAGAAAAGCAGGACATTAAATATATAAATGAAGCCCAAAGAATACAGTACAAACCTCTTATATCCATGAGGATATGTTCTAGGCTCCATGTGCATGTGCAACAACCTGGGTATCGAATGAATAACTTCCAGTGAAAATATACTAAAGAATCATGGTAGAGGACCTAAGACATGCCTGGAGTTGATACCTCTCTGAATATCACTGGGTTCTCTAGCAGAACTCTGTGGTCAATGTCCAGTTGAACTAAACCAGAGAAGGTTTAGAAAATGCTTAGCAAGGGTATATTTGGTCAGGTGTGGTTAAATGAAATGGTGAGTACTGTTCCCATGAATGCAAGAGTCATACTGTATTGATGTGTGCAATGCTAACAGGAACAGTGAATGCCACTGGGATTTTTTGGCATTAAACTCATCAAATGCAAAGAGTCATATATCCAATGTCTAAACATTTAGCAAAATTTAGCTGAGACCAATGGTGACTTACCAGCATGTGTACAATTCATGTTCAGCACTGCATATATAGCAACTATTTTCTATCTTATATTCTGGTTGTATCCTGTTGATGACATCTTTAAAGGTTATTTCCTAGAAGCTTCACATGCTAAAACACAAGTAACGTAATTATCGGGGGTTCATCTGAGGCATTTTGTTGCTTGAAGTAGTTGGAACCTCTTCCTCCTCACCCATAGTGTCTAAAGTTAGCCGAGTTATTTTGGCAGATGAGACTGAACATTCCATAAATATCCCTCCTCCCACTAAACATAAAATACAAACATAAATAACTAGCATTTGCTGCTATTTCATATCCCAAATGTGCCAGAGGTGGCTGCCTCACACTTGCAAGTAGATGACCTAGCCTCATAATATATAGTGTTTTAAGGGTCAATAAAGTACGAACTGTTGACATGAGGCTCTGTCTATTGCCAGTGGCCTCCCACCAACGTATAAGCACTTGGTGGCTTAAGGAACACTCTCATGTTACTAGCTAAAGCTAGCTACACATAGTGCTAACTTCTAGGCTAGTGAGTGAAGCATTTCTTACATAGTTGGGGGGAACAAATTGAGATGAATGTGGAGAGAGCTTTACTATTGACCCCAATGTTCTTACCTCACGACAATCCTGAGAACCCCATGCTGGGAGGAAATAGTGCAAGTTTGTTTGTTGGTTTCCTATCTCCCATTCCTCCTGACATGGGATCCAAGGCATAACACAATGTTGATTTAGGAGGCATATGCATAACCTAAAGGGTTGAATATTATAATTCTGAGAAATCTCTATGAAAACTAGAAATTAAATCATGATGGCTCAATCAGGTATAGATTGTTTTGTACAGGGATGTCAAGCTCATTTTACTGGGGGCCATATCAGCCTTATGGTTGTCTTCAAAGAGCCAAGCACTGGCTGTTTTCTGTGACTGCTGCATTTGAAATGCAGATAACATAGCCAGGTCTTGGAATTGTAACCCAACAGTACTTGTGGAAGGGGCAAGCCTTGTTTTCTACTGCTCTGGAGACTAGGATATATATGGCCATGGATTCAAATTGCAGGAAAAGAGATTCCACCTAAACACTGAAAAAAACCTCCTTACATTAAGAGCTGTTCGGCAATGGAATATGCTGCTGCCTGGGAGACCAATGGAGGTTTTTAAGTTGAGGCGGGATAGCCATTTGTTGGAAGTGCTTTGATGATGTATTTCTGCCTGACAGGATGGGGTTGGACTGAATGGCCCATGTGGTCTCTTCCAACTATAGGATTTTGTGCATCACTGATCTAAACTGAAATCCCACTCTCCTGACTAAACAGATCAAATGGCAGACTTCCAGATGTGAAAATATCACAACTGGAGGGCCAGTCTTTATGCTCCACAAAAAAGTTCTTTTGACATTCTTTTAATGTCTGCACACACATTCAAGTATTGATATGGGTTTCTATACACATATAAGCTTGTGTTAGTGACGGCATAGGATAATGATAGGTCTTTTTGGCCAGCAATTAATGGTTCAAACATGTTAGTAGTAGTGTGTGTCTAGGACAGCCACTTGTTTGTTTGGACAACAAGAAGGCTGTTTCAGGGCAACCTTTCATGGAAACCAAACTAAATGACCACAGGCATTTGTCTGTTCCCATAAGAACCTGTGTGCACACAAATGCATTTCCTCCACATGCACAACTTCTTCTCTGGGGAAATTATCCCATCAGCACACTGTGTACAGAAACAAGCCATTACTATAGTACCTAATTCATCAATTTGTTCATTGGTCTCATTTTGAATGTATTAGTTACTATTCACCACTGTCAGCTTCACAGGGCAATCCCATAGAACCATCTTTGGCATTTGACATTACTTTTAATAATGATTCTCTTTCCGAATGGCCCAAATGGATGTACAAATAATGTTTTTGTTGGTTTCTTCCTGAGCTAATATGTTGCCAACATCTACTCAACATGAACAGTTGGGGTCATGTTTATGTCCAAACCAAAACCTGAGTTTGTACTAAGATAGCATTGTGGGAATGTTGTAACTTTTCTTGTCTGTAACATAGTACAATGCATAAACATTTTCAGGAGAATGTTTCTTTAAAAAGAATCGACAGAATTAGACCAAAAATTCCTAACAGACCTAAATTCAGAAAAATTGATGGATTAAATGAAGATAGGCAAATATGACACATGGCTCAGAAAATGACCATTATTCTTGGCTCTGCCTTTTCTCTGCTTTAGTTCCCCCCGTTTATAGGTTTTCCCAATAGTATAGAGACCTTCCTTTGTATTAG